GCTTTTCCCTGTCTCTGATGTCTATTGAGTTCTGCTTCACTTGTTTGTCTTAGACTGCTAGTCTTTTCTTTGCCTGTCTCATTGGCCTTTTTTCGATTGTGTTGCTGCACTTCCCCCCTGCTGCTGGTGGCTTTGCTGCACTTCCCCCCTGCTGCTGGTGCTGTTGCTACACTGTCCCCTGCTGCTGGTGCTGTGTTTTGCTCAGAAACCGCCAGCCCTCCAGACGGCCCTAAAATGCAGCGTCGCTGCTGACGCCCTGCGGCAGCTGGCGGTGATGAAGATTCTTGAGGAGAATCGCCAGGAGCAGGTGATGGTTGCGGAGACGACAGCAGGAAATGCTTCGGCAGCTGTTCCTTCTTTAGGGGGTGCGGCGGCAGAGGCGGGAGGAGGCCCCCCAGGCACTGGGGCTGCTGCTGCTGCTGCAGCCTTTTTGGTGCACCCCTTGGCCATGGACCTCACCCACTCCAGCATGCACAGCCTCTCGCTGGCCCCGCTGTCGCTGGACAAGCTGAGGCCAACCACCAGTTCAGCAGGAGGGTATCTGTCTTCTGTTTCTGGAGATGCAACGTCGGGGGAGACTCACAGCGGGGACCCATTCAACGAGGTGCTGCTGCGGGAGCCCATTTCTATGCAGTTTTACGCCACCCCACGGGTGTACATAAACCCCCCATCTTCGCATGTGCTGGTCTTGCCGAACCCGAGGTGGATGGAGCTGCACCGGGCGAGTCCCGTGTATATAAAGAACCTGACCATCAGCACTCTGTCTCTCACTGTGTCCATTCGCACTTCGGAGCACCGAATATCCCGCCAGGTGCTGCACATAGTCGATGCCCTGCCTCTGGACACTCCTTATATGACCATTCAAATAGCAAGGGAAAGGCGGAAGTTCACTGTCTGCTCCTGGCACGAGCTGATCCACTCTCTGCGCAACTCTTACCTGCGGCAGTTCATCCGGCAATCCCTGCCTTCGGCATGGATTAGCAATCCGTGTGCATTTGTGGTGGGCTTTATAAGGGGCACAAGTGCCCTCTGTCGGCAAACAGTGAAGGGCGCGAAGACCAACCGCAACAGCTTTGAGGGGCTCATGATGGGCTTCCGCATCGGCTTTATTCTCTTCATCATTTACACCATGGGAGGCGTCATGCAGTCTTTGTCGCATGTTCTCAACATCCTGCACAAGCTCATGAGGGGCTCCAGGCCCAGGCCCTACGGCGTGCTTGACGCGTTCTGGAAAGGACTCAACGGATTCATTTTAGACACTTTTTGGAGGCCTTGGGTTGCTGTTGTTACAGAACCAGCCGCCAGTGTCACTAGGTACGCCATTAAATCCCAGCTAGCTGGCTGCCGGCATGTAGATTGGCGTCTTCACGCACATTCACGTACCAGCTAGCTAAGGAGTTGGCTAGCTGGAGGAGGCTGCCCTGAGTCGGCCCTTCCCACAAGCGCAGACACAGAAGACAAAGAAACAAAGATGCACCCACAAGGCCCCACATAGCTAGAAACAGCCGCAGGGGCAACTGGTCTAGACATTGTTCTGTAGTGCGAGCCGTGTGCAAGCTGCTGCAGCCAAGCAGAAATATGCGCCAGTTTGCTGCTGTTGCGCAGCTATGCTTTGCCTGGTTCCCCTCCCTGTTTGCGAATTTGGCTGCAGAGGCGACAGCTGGTGGAAGACGACGGCGATTCTGATTGCCTGTTGCGTGCGTTGCTTGATTTCTCCTTTATTTGGCCTTTCGAATTTCTTGGCCTCTGTGGCGGAGGGTTTCGCAAACACGTTAATAGGCGACTTCGAACAATTTACTCGAGTGCAGGAACGGGCAGACTTAGACAAAAAACATAGACACCCCTCGCCTTCCAGCGCAATGAACGCTGGAGGCGGCTTCCACCGGGGCCTCCAAGGACACAAGGGAGGTGACCCAGGAGGCACAGGGCTGGGTAGTCGTTTCCGCAGAGCCAAAAGGCATGCTGCAGGCAAACACAAAGCACGTGGAAATGCAGAGGGAACGAGAACTGCTGCGGGAGGGGTCGCGAATGGCTCCATTATTGCGGGGAAGCAGAGGGCAGGCAGCAGCTTCTCTGGTGCCTTCAGGCGTCCCTCTTCAAAACAAGTGACCTTTGCTGTTTAACAGCTAATAATTTACAAATTTTAGCTTGAGGCTGCCCTCATGCGTTTGCAATTAGAATTGGATCTCCCCAGTCTTTCGGCGCAAACGCCTGCCTAGTTTAATCAGTGCCCCTTGATTCAAGTCGAGGCTGCCTAAGGCCCGAGAAGCCTTTACGTATTACGACCAGTCGTTAATTCCCACGGCTGTCTGAGCGCTCCCGTGTCCCCGTGTCTACTGCTGCGGGTACTGAGGGCGTCACAGTAGGCCCAGTAGTTGCTGTTCAGAGGACGTTGGCTTCTGCTGCTTCTGATAGATATTCGGTACGCAGAGCCAGCAAAGAGTTGAGGCACAGAAGAGTGAACTAGCACTAAGCCCTGTACTGAAAGCCAAGCCACCTGGCGGTAGAGGGGTGCAACGGGAATAGAATGGGCAGCATGTGCCACACCAGCGGTGCCTGTTTCCCCCAAGGCAGCTGAGAAGGGCAGCACCTATTCTGTGATGCCTTTGTTCTGAACACTGGTAGCGATTAGATCCTGAGTTGGAGGTACATGTCGGTAATTGAATACAAGTCCGCATAAACAAAGCCCCGAGAGATAGAGACCAGAGCCCCTCAGTAGTTCAGGCACATTATAGGCTCCATCACTCAAGGGGAAGTTGTCTTCACCTCTGAAAATTAGAACCTGTTCCTGTGCTTTTCTCCTAAGTTCCCGTGGAGCTCTTGTGGCTAAGCGCACTAGGACGGCGCTCAGCTCTACTGCCCCCAGCGCCACCAGTAACTGAGTCTTTCCCCATGACGCCACTGGCCTTGCTTTGTAACGTTCAAATTAGGTAGCACACGTTCAGGTCTGTCTGCCTGCAGCTTTGTAGCTTGCAAGTACTCATGTGGTGGCTTTATGGGTTCACCAAGGAGCACGCACATCCAGAAAACAAGATGAGGGCAGTTTCCCTGGAGCTATATACATATATTTATGGTGTTGGTGCACGTTTACACTTGAAGGAAATAAGCGTTGTAGCAGCGGTTAAGAATTGGTGGCATTTCTGCACGGCATTATCTCTGATGTCCGTCTTCTACATACATCTTATGAGTAAGTGGCCGTTTGGAGCACAGCATTTAGTTATTATGTGAACTCAACCAAATAATAGCACAGACGCATTTTCCTATGGCTTCGTGCTGCATGCAACAGCAGCAGTCACAGAAGCCAGCCCCGGCTGCGGAACCCCACAGGCCGCTACGCTGGGGCTGCTGCACCCGTAGCAAGTGAGAAGACAAGACGAGGGAAGCAAGGCTGCCGGACGACCACCGCAAGTTTAAATCCAGGAATTACATTGTGTTTCTTCTGCGGCGCTGGATAGGCTCGCTCGTATCTTCAGTTCCAGCAGCTCGCGAAGATGGCGATCAAGAGTGAGAGAGCAGAGCAGAAACCCCGCGATTAAGCCGCCATGCAGCATTCATTATTCCCAGTTGCTGTTCAAAATGCTCTAAATTGGTTTTGCTGGAGTTCTGTAGGGATACTTGCGTTTAATAGGGAATAGACTGGTGCTTCCCTCGTTAAGGTTCCCACAGTGGTTGGGCCAGCGCTGCATGCATGCTCCCTTTTTGTGTTCTCATTTTGTCACATTTCAGGCGGGAAGAAGAAAGCCACCAAATCTATGCAACCTGCTTGCAGAGATTACACAATTCACCTCCACAAGATTGTGCACGGCATCCAGTTCAAGAAGAGAGCTCCCCGCGCTATTCGCGAGATCCGGAAGTTTGCGGAGAAGGTCATGCACACAAAAGTAAGCGAAAATGCGGCTTCTCATTGCTAATCAAGAATAAAAACCCAAGTGGAACACACGTTTTCATCGAATTCCTCAGGGCTATTCCAGCTAGGCTCACCCAATGACACACTCTAAATTCTCCTTTCGGGGCGGAGGAAACTTGCCTGGATCCGGCAGTAATAGTGCATTTCTTTTTTGTTTCAAGTATTGTGTTGTTTAATTTGTCTCATTTTGGAATTAATTGTTTGGTATCTTCGCATTTTCGTAGGACGTGCGCATCGACACGAAGCTGAACAAGCACATCTGGAGCAACGGCATCCGCAACTTGCCGCGCCGCGTGCGTGTGCGAATGGCCCGGCGCCGCAACGAAGATGAAGACGCAGCTGAGAAGTTCTATACTTTAGTGCAGCACGTGCCGGTGGCATCTTTTGCGGGTTTGGGGCCCGAGTATGTGAACGAGGAGTAAATGTTGAACGATAAAGCTGTACGCGCGCCGCTGCAGAAGCAGCTGCAACAGCGGGTGAGGCGCTGCAGAAAGCTGGGCGTCAACGCCCGCGTGCAGCTTTCCAAACTTTGGTTCATTTTAACGGATACTGGGGGATACAGAGGAATTAGATCGCCGAAGATCGTCTTTCACAAAGTCTGGTTACTCTAGCTTGGCCCAGAGGCCACTCTATTAAGTGCTTCTGCAAGAAAGCTGAACTACTCGAGTCTGCATGCAGCCGGCAGCCGCAGTTCTAGTCATATCCCACATGAAGCTGAGACAGCCAGGTCTCGGAAAATAGAATTTGAAAACAAGTTCCAGCTCGTTATCATGTAGCCAGTAGCCAAGTGCACTGGTGGACTTAGGGCTGCACGCTTGGTCGCTGACGCTGCAGCACCGGCTGCTGCTGCAGCGCCAGCTGCTGCTAGAGCTGGAGCTGCAGCTGCTGCGACGGTCTACCCGTTGGCGCCGCAGCAAGTCACATCTGGGACTTTGCTAGGGTCCGGTTGTGTACAGTTCAGGCCCTGGCTAGGGTTTAGGGCGTGCGAAAATTAGGCCCTGGCTAGGGTTTAGGGTTTGGTCACTGGCTAGGGTGTAGGGCGCGGGCTGATTAGGGTTTAGTTGGGGTTTGGCGCTGCGATGCTGTCCAGAGTTTAGTACTTCACAGAGGGGCGGAAGGAAATAGCAACTTTGCAGAGCTGCGCAAGCATCTTCCTAAAAGAACAGACCCCAAACCCTAAACCCTTAACCCTAGATCCGCGCACATTTTCGCGCACAAATGCCTCGCATAGAGGCTGATCCCACCAAGAGCAACTGCAGCAGCAAGAGCAGCAGCCGCAAAAGCAGCAGCAGCAAAAGTAGCAGCAGCAGAAACAGCAGCAGCAAAAGTAGCAGCCGCCAAACAAGCAGCAGCAAAGGCAGTAGCAGCAACTTACTCCATCTGAAGCTCTGTGGAGAGTCCCCCGGCCATCGTCATGTGCGTCATGCCTACGATCTGCCAGCACAAGCCAAAGCGAACACAAACCCTAAACCCTAAACCCCAAACCTTCACGCAACAGCAGCGCCAACCTTTTACGGGCACCCCTGCACTCAGCTCCTCTGGCCCTATAAACCCTAAACCCTAGGGGCCAAACCCTGCTGTTGCCCCCACCGGGCTCGTGCCTGCGGGTGAGCCAGGCTCAAACCCTAAACCGTAAACCCTAAATCCTCACCCCCAAGAACTCAAGTAGCAGATGCTCCTGAAGCTCAGAGTCCGCACGCCTGAGGACTCCGCGGAAAGTTGTGACGACGTCAAGGGGGGTATAGCCGAGACTGAGGATGACTCGGGCCACTGACTGTGCCTGCACGCAAACCCTAAACCCTAAACCCTAAACCCTAAACCCTAAACCTCAGGAAGCAAAGGGAGCCGACGGCAGCGAGTCCGTGCAGGAGTTAAAGAGAAGTGACAGGCCTAGACGGATAAGTAGAAAGAAACACAAATACTAGAAACTGGAGTATTAAAAATACTACTGGGAACTGAAACCTGGACCCTAAACCCTAAACCCTAAACCCTGAAAACAGCAGCTTACCCCGTACCAGTCCCCGGCCACGCACTGCTGCATTATGCGCCGCAGCATTTCTGGAGGCGGCGTGTCGCATACCTTAAGGGCCACCAAACGCCAGCGCCAAACCCTAAACCCTAAACCCTGAATCCCAAACCCTAAACCCTAAACCCTGAATCCTAAACCCTAAACCCTAAACACTATAAGAATGCGCACCTTCTCAACGTTTTCTTTGTTGACGAGGCCAAATCCTGACACAGTTGACTGCAGGTTGTTCAGAGCCTGCGCGGAAACCCTAAAGCCAAAACGCTAAACCCTAAAGCCTCAATTTGGAAAAGGCAACTGGGAGTCGCGAGCAAGAAAATTCCAAAGCAAAACCACACAGGCAGACGCTAGGGTTTAGGGTTTACGCTGCGCATGTCTCCGTCCGCTGAAAACACAATGGCCTCAATTCCATCATCTGTAAAGGTGACGTTTTCTTTAGCGCAGACTTCTCGCAGCCGCTGCACCAGCTGCGCGAAAACCCCAAACCCTAAACCCTAAACCCTAAACCCTAAATCCTAAACCCTCACCCCTAAACCCCAAACCCCAACCCGCAAACGCCCCAGGCTCCGAAGCCTGAGGCTGTGCAGTTGCGGCACCGCAGCTCCGCAATCACTACCACGGAGCTCCAAACCCTAAACCCTAAACCCTAAACCCTAAAGCCTACGTGGGCGTCGGACAACTTCGTGAATCTCAGGATGGCGCAGCGGGACTGCAGCGGCTCAATAACTGAAGAAGAAGAATTGCAAGCTAAAGCAAATCTGGTGGTGTCGCTGTGCAGCTCCATGATGCGCCGCAGGGCCTGCAGTGTACGTACACCCCAAACTGCAGCACACGCTGCTGCTGTTGCTGCACGGAGGAACGCTAGTCCGAGCCGTTCGCTGCAGCAGCAGCATCTGGCGCAGCAGCATCAACATCTGGTGCAGCAGCAGCATCTGGTGCAGCAGCAGCAGCTGCTGCTGCTGCTGCCAGTAGCTTCCTTTTGCCCAGTGGCCCGAAGCTTGCTTCCAGTGTGCTGCAGTGCAGAGGTGCGGGTTTTGCTGCGTTGGGAGGGCTTCGGGGTTTGGGTGCGAGGGTTTAGGGTTTAGGGTTTAGGGTTTGGGGGACCTGCTGCGCCGCTTCCGTCATAGAATCCACTTCGTCTAAAATTATTATTTTGTGCCGCCCCAGAGGCAAATCTCTTCGCTCTTTTGCAAACGCCTTTATCCGGTCCCGCACTACGTCGATGCTCCTGCGCACGCCGCAGCGCCCCTTGCTGCTGCTGCTGCTGCTTGTGGTATTGCTGCTGCTGCTGCTTGCAGTGTCTTTGTGGCTGCTGGGGCTTGCGGTGTTGCTGCTACTGCTGGTGCTTGCGGTGTTGCCGCCGCTGCTAGTGCTTGCGGTGGTGCTGCTGCTGCTGTTTGTGCTGTTGCCGATGAGCTGTTTGTGGTGTTGCTGCTGCTGCTGCTTGCGGAGTTGCTGCTGCTGTTGCTGCGCGTCGGCCACTGCTGCTGCTGCTGCTCTTAGTGCCAACTTCATGCGGCAGCGCAGCAAGCAGCAGGGCGGACGCCCGTGGCTGCCCAACCTCCCCAACCCCTAAACCCTAAACCCTAAACCCTGGCTCACCTCTCGTCAGAAGCATTTAATTCCAAGCAGCAGCTGCGCCACCGAGACTGCAGCAAAGCCCTCGCGAGGCAAAGAACACTTGAGGTTTTTCCGGTGCCTGGGGGCCCCTGCAGCAGCAAGTGTCCATACACCCCACGGCCGCACGGCGCTGACTGCGCAAAGGAGAACTCCAGCACTTTTAATGCCAGACAATAACAAATAAATTAATAGATTAATAAATTAATAAATAATAAACTAGTAAATAATAAATAATAAATAAATAGTGGACAAACAGAGCAATAACAAAGTTCATTGCTGGCGATAGGCAGGGCAGCAGCCGTGGCCAGGAGGAAGCAAAAAGACAGACAAAAGAAGAAGACAAATAAAAATAAAATAAATAAAAATAAATAAAAATAAAACAAAAAGCAAGAGATAACCGGGGCAGAAACGTAAAATGGAAGGCGGACCCTAAACCCTAAACCCTAAACCCTAGACCCTCGCGAAGAGTACGGGAGATACAGACGCAGGCATTTGCAGCAACAGAGAGCAGCAGCAAGACCCAAGCAGAGCAGCAAAACAAATAAAGTGGACCACCCGTGTGGCCTGAGTGGACCACTGGTCCAGCACAAGGGGCCCCACAGGGGGTAGCGTAGGAGGCCCAAAGGGCCGCAGCAGCAGTGGCGCCCAGCAGCAGCTTGAAGCCAAGCAGCAGCAGCAGCAGCAGCGAAGACAGCAGCAGCAGCAGAGCCACGAGAAGCGGCAGTAGCGGAACGGGGAGCAGCAGCAGCAGCAGCAAGAGCAACAGCAACAGCAGGAGGGACTCACAGCCAGCAGCAAATGGGGCATATTGCCCTCCAGTGCAATTATGCGCAGCCGCTGCAGCACTTCGTCGTTGCCCACAACTTCGTCCAGGGCTTGCGGCCTGTACTTCTCAATCCATATAGACTCGTTGCCGCTGCTGCTGCTGCT